TGCAGTACTTGTTTTATTTTTTATTTTTCCCTTTTATTAGAATTACTATTAATAAAAGGGAAAAATGTCAAAATCTCTCTCAGAGTAGAAAATAATACGAACGAACGATTTGGAACGAAAAACTAGTAAAAATGTCAAAATTAGATGACAAAACTTCAAAATCAACACAACAGCCATTCAGAAGTTGGCATTCCTAGTTACCATCGGCCAAATTTCTCGAGTAAAAAGTTTACAAAGAGAACGCCATTTTGTTTTGTGTTCTCTTAAATTTTGGTTGAAAGTTTTACTAGTTTAGTGTGTTCAGGAACGGGTTTCGAGTAAAAAGTTGCAAAACTTGTAATATTAGTAGATTCTTGCAGGTCCGTTCTAGAACCTGAACCTAATAATAGTAATACAAATTATTAAATATTTTAATTAGAATATTTATTTACTAATATTGGCCTGGAATCTACAACTAATAAAAAAACAAATATTCCAAATAATGGGGTTAAAATAAATTTACAAAATTCTTTTGAGCTTAGAATATTTCTGTTGACTCCTTTGAGTCTCAAATATAAATAATTATTTTATTTTAAGTTGAAAATTTGATAATCTTTATTTAAAAATATTACTTCTTACGTTAAAATCTCCCAAAATGCCATCTAACCTCCAAACATAAATTTGAGGTTAGAATATTTAAATTCGCTTATTCTAACCTACCAAAAAAAAATAATGTTTATAATTTAATAAAAAAATTAACAGATTTTATCTTAAAAAATTATTATTTCGAAAAGATTGAGAGCTTTAATACAAATAAGGTGATTTCAAAACGAAAATCAAAACATTTGTGATTTGATAAACGACCATAACCTACAAACCTTATTGCGATCAATATTTGCCTTTTTTAACTTAATATTTTGTATTATTCCAAACACATTTAATTTTGACGTGATGTTTGATTCTAACCTCAAAAGAAAAAATCCTCATTATATAAATTAATTTGAACCGACTTAATCACAATAGAATTATATAACTTACAAAAAAATATTAATTTCAAACAAAAATTATTAAAAAAATATATGAATACAAAATTTCATACTACTACGTATTTAAAACATATTGAACTTTTTTAAAAAATCGCCCAGGTTGCCACCAGGGTATATGAAATCTGGGCCTGGGACTTTCTTGAATTTCCTCAGAATCCTCGGACTTGGCTTCTTCTTTTTTAGTTGTCTCAACGAAATCTTCTTCTTCCTCCTCTTTGTTCTCCGCCTCCTCATCCTCCTGCGCCTCGACAGGCATTTTAAACAATTTCAGCTGCTGGCGGCGTAAGGGACTTCTATTTGCTTTGTGGTTCCTATAGCTTATCTTCTTACTTTCTTCCAAATTCCCTTTCAATTTTTGTTTTTTATTTTCATTAGTTGATTCTTCAAGTTTACTGTGATATTTTGTGAGGGAAAGAATTTTGTCGTTATCTTTATTATTATTTTCTTCCTCTTCTCCTTCTTCTGCATCCAATTTTTGTTGATTCAAACCAAAGGCATTGGCCAATTCCTGGCCGAAGTTTCCTAAATGTTTCTCCTCATAGTGTTCGCCGAATAGAGACCTTTGCTCATTTTCCTCTCTTCCATTTTTATCCTTTTCACTGTTAGCCTCCGCGCTATTATATTCCAAGAGTGATGATGGCGAACCCACACGTTGCTTGGAAAGTGGTGCTGGTGTCAAAATATTCGAAATGCTATCCATGAACCATGATCTATCTAAATCACTTGGAATTTTCTTTTTCTTTGGTTTCTCTCGCTTCTCATCTCGTGTATTCTCCTCCCGGTGTTGCCGATTCCTTTGACGGCCACCCAACGGGGCAGGTTTCACCAAATTTTGTCTCAAATCACTAAACCATTCAAATTGCCGGTATTGTTGCTGCTGTTCTTGACTTTTATCTGACACCACCTCACGTTTCCTTCTTGCCAAATCTTCTTCTTCTTCGAGCTTTTTATGATAATTTCCATTTTCCAATCGTTTGATTTTTCTTTTCGTTATTAGTTTTGTTTTACTCATAACACTGCTATTGGCATCGGGACGATATACCGTAACTGTGGATCTTTTCTTGTGACCAAAATCCCCTCCTTGAATTCCCGCCACCCCATTGTACTTCTCTTCATATTTCCAGGCATTGCGCACAAACGCATTCACACTTGGTCCCTGGATCAACAGTTCGAAGGGTAGTTTCTTCTTGCGGGCATTCCGCTGCATTTCCCCAACACACTTCGTATTGGAATTGTCATGATTACACTCACACAAACACTCTTCGCCACAATAGAAATTCAAACAGCCACATTGATCGCACAACGATTGGCAATTTTTGATATTTTTCGTTTCATCCTCGCCAAGGTTTTGATGAAGGGATATAGCCTTGCTTCCAATGCCAGCGCCAACACCACCGCGACCACTACGATTACTACTGGCCGTTGTCAAAACAATCACCCACACAATCAACAATCCAATGGTATAAATATACAGCTGTCTATTGCTTACAACCGTCATTGCTTTTATAGCTTAAAACTCCACCGATCCGATCCGATTACGTCCGTTCGCTTACATTCTCTTTTTGGCTATAGAATTTGTATGCCAAAACATTTCGAATTTTAAGAATTCTCTATTTATATTCAGAAATTTACTTGACGTGTTTTCGAGTCTCTTTTTTTTTTGGAAATTCTAAAAGAAGTTGAAAATAAATTGCAAATAATAAAATGGGCCGCACCGAACTTTTAATACCCTCCACCATAATGACAAGTAATTGCAATGAAGTTTTGCACACCCCACGTGGAACTATACCACACTTCAGCGAATAATATTGAAAGATACGACTAAAAACTTTCAATACCAAAACAAAAAACCAGTAAGGAAAGTAGTAAAGTCGGAAGCTATATCTAAATTTGAACCGATTTTCACGAAACTTAGCACACATCATTATTGACTCAATTCAGTACGCTATGCTAAATTTTTTGCATATCGAAAGATACATAGGGACTATGGTGCACCATTTCTATTAAATCGGTCAAATATATATATGGGAGCTATATCTAAATTTGAACCGATTTTCACGAAACTTATCACACATCATTATAGACCCAATTCAGTACGCTATGCCAAATTTCGTACATATCGAAAGATATATAGTGACTTTGGAGCACCATTTACCTTAAATCGGACGAAGATATATATGGGAGCTATATTTAAATCTGAAGCGATTTTCACGAAACTTAGCACACGTCATTCTAGACTCCATTCAGTACGCTATGCCAAATTTCGTGCAAATCGAAAGATATATAGTGACTTTGGTGCACCATTTACCTTAAATCGGACAAAGATATATATGGGAGCTATATCGAAATCTGAAACGATTTTTCCCAATTTCAATAGGGTTCGTCCTTGGGCCGAACAAGTGACCTACGCCAAATTTCATCCAATTCGGATCATAAATGTGACCTGTACTTTGTTCATAAAAATATATGGAGGGACGGACGGACAGACCGACATGCATAAATCGACTCAGAAAGTTACTCTATACATATTCTCAAAAGGAACCATGGGTCTATCTCGATTCCTTTTACCAGTTACAAATATGTGCCCAAAGACATAATACCTTGTACCCCAGTTGGGTGAAGGGTATAAAAACGAGTGGGATCGTTTATAGGTTATATAACAAAATGTAGACCTTTAACGACAATGTTTTCCAAGGAGATTTTGTAATCCTCTGGATACCAGAAAAGTCAAAGTGCAGCCACTGTTGTTTAGCAATTTTCCTAAAACCTCAAGATCAAGAAAATTCGGAAAAATAAGGGATAACATTATAACAAGAAAAAATTAACTAATATCAAACATTTTGGGGATTTTCTAACCAATCATAATCCAAAACATTAAATGACGGGCAATTTGACTGGAAGCCCAGTCCTGAATACTCGAAATAACAAAAATCGGATGGTCGATTAAATTTGGGCTATACCTAAAAGTGGATCACTTTGTTTCTTGACCGAATGCCAATTGGTGGGCACTGGAGCAGCTTTTTTTTTCCAATGTTGAGTTTTTCTTGCTTTAATCAACATCTCTCATTTCCAACTTCAGTTAATATAATTTGGCCTTAAACTGTCCCATAATTTCTTACGGACCCAGCTAATGTTAAGTTTAATAAATCCAATCCCCCAAATTGGCTCAATGATCCTTTTTTTTAAATTTTTATGGAGAAAATGTCTTTTATTTGTATTTTACGAAATAACCAATAAAACTGATACACTTCTCCGATTATAGGGTATTATTTTGAATTTCAAGACTACTTCATTATTGTGCTGTTCAAGCATTTTCTTCAGTCGTTGCATTTTATCAAGAAAAATAAAAGAAAATAAAACAAAATTCAAAATCAGCCGTGCTCTGTTCTTGCATATTTTCTTTCGTGTTCTTGAAATTGTATTCCGCGACACACAAGCATACATATACATATCTACATGTTCGCAATTTGTAACAATTCAGTCGCTGTTGTTGTTATTGCCGTGACATTGACATAGCTAAACAAAGTTCATTTGTTTTATTCGAGTTGTATTTTCCAAAACAAAAACAACTAAATATGGATATATGGAATCGAAATCAAGAACATTTAATCGAACAATAATTAATACAACATTTAAACTATTTTCAAATAAATTGAAAATAATGGGAATTTAAAGTTTTAAAATTAAATGTGTCTCTGAAGAACAGTATCTTCGTTAATACTTCTAATCTAGAAGGGCCATTTTAAAACAGTACAAATTCAAAATTTCAATACGAAATAAATATATATTAAAACATGACATAAGGAGTTAAATCTTAACTATCATTACCTCCACACCCTTTCAAAAAAATCAAAAAAAAAATGGTTTTACAAAAAAAATCAAATTAGATTTATTATTTTAAATCGCTATATATTATATGCCAGATAATAACAAAGAATGTAAATGAAAGAAGTGTGCCAGCGCTCTATTTGCATTTTAACGTCTCTTGCCTTTGCCCTTTTTGCCACCGCCGCCACCACCACCCGACGAAGTCTGTTGATGTTGGGCCTGTTGTGGCGCTTCGCCACCGGGACGAGCCTGACGACTTTTTAGTTGAGGTATTTTACTTGCTACGTGCAACATAAAAGCTTCGCGACTGGTAAATTCGGGATTACAAAACGTACCATCATCGTTACGTAGCTGGACACGAATACGACCACGGTATTGCAGTTCCTGGGAAAATAAGAGAAAGAAAAAATTAAAACAAATTAAAAAATATATATATTAAGTTATGAAATTTGTTATAGAAATTTTTCAAAAACTATTTTATAGACAAGATATACATTAGAAGTCTCCTAGATAGAACACTCTGTTGAATCTTCTGTATAGACATAGTTTTTAATGGATAACATACCGAGGGAACTTCGATAGATTGAAGATACTCACGGCTTTTCTATATCAAAGAATACCTACAAGAGGTCTGCCAAGGAGCATTCCAAAGATAAAAAAAAATACATTAGCTCTTCTAGAAATCATAGGCCTATAAAAGCCTACCTCCTACAGACAAAATACCGGAAAATAGGTATTCTCTTAATAGAAAGGCCAAAATAGGTCTTCCATAAATAGAAGACTCTGGATAGGTTTTCCCCAGCTAGAAGACCTACAGGAGATTTCGTCGTCATCTTCAAAGAATAACCATCATCTCAGTCTATAGTTCGAAAACAATAGGACTACTATATCATAGAATACCCGATGTCAGGTCTTCAATTTACCAAATAACTTTTAGAAGACTTCCATGGACTGAAGGCCACGAAGGAGGTATTATTGAAGTTTGAAGTCAGTCTATTGTACGAAAACAATAGGACTACTATATCATAGAAGACCCGATATCAGGTCTTCAATATACAAAATAACTTTTAGAAGCCTTCCATGGACTGAAGGCCATATAGAGGTATTATTGAAGTCTGAAGCCAGTTCATTGTTTGTAAACAATAGAACAACTATATCATAGGAGACTATGTCATAAGAGGTCTTCAATATACAAAATAACTTTTAGAAGCCTTCCATGGACTGAAGGCCATGAAGGAGGCATTATTGAAGACCTCCTTGAGGTTTTCTATATGCTGATAAGATTCTATTATACTGATAAGCTTCACCTAGAGGTTTTCTATTAATAAAAGATCTTCTATAGACAAAAGTCCCTCTTATACGGCATTTACATAAGAACTTTTTACCGGGTTAACCTACTTTATGAGGATTTATTTGGCATATATTCAAAGGAATTGAAATTTTAAACCCACTCGGTTAACCAAATCCGGTTCAATGTAAACGACCTTTTAGAGGTTTTTAATAGACAGAAAAGATTTTTAATAGAGAGTTTTATTCAATAAACAAAGAACCTTTTAGAGGTCTTCTATAGACATAGAAACTTCCAGAGGTCTAGAGTAGACAGAACTTGTTGAGATCATTCTAACGATTGAAAACTTTTTATAGGTCTTCTACAGACAGAAGAGGTCCTTCTATACTATACTACTGAAGACCATATGAAGATTTAATTGTAGACCTCATTTTATATAAAATGAGGAACCACTAGATGGAATCTATTAATAGAAACCCTTCTATAAGAGTTTTTTTAAAGGAAAATATTTTACAGACAGAAGACTTTATAAAAGTCTTTTACAGATAGAAGACCTAACATAGCTTTTCTACAGATAGTAACCCTTTTAGAGATCTTCTATAGACCCTTCTGTATTTAGAGGACTTCTAAGTAAAACAAATCTCCCAAGGCCTTCCAAAGAAAATATTCTTAGAAAGAAAATATTCTAAAGAAATTCTATATACCGATTATCTTATAAAGGTCTTTTACAAATAGAAGACCTTAAAGATTTGTTCTGTAGACAGTAGACCTTCTAGAGATCTTCTATAGAAACTTCTATCTACACAGGTCTTCTATATATAATAGGTCTACTATATATCGTCTTATAGACCGAAAACCATACACACAAAATTTCTGCAGGTCTTCGATCTATAAAAATCCTTAAAAAAAAGAAGAAGATTTTCTGTCTATGGAAGATCTTAAAGTTATTTAAAACATCATCTAAACTTATTTTTATCTACGAATACAGTTTTCTAAAGTTTTTCTTATGAAGCAACACCTGACCCAATAGCTCGACGTAAAACTTCGCTCCTTTTCTAAACTTCCAATTCATACTTCAGACTTTTGAAAAATTCCCTATACAAAGGTCTCTCTCTCCGATAGGTGCCCTCCTTTGCGATACTAACCCTACTTTTCTCACGACAGTACTGTTTATTCTCCACGGCCACACGTATTTGGCTGGCCGCTAAGACATCACGGATCTCAGCATAGGTGGGATTTTCAACACAATTTTCTTTGGGTAAACGGCGACCCTCCTGTCGGGTTTTCTTGCTATTAATATAGGCTGGGTAAATGCAAATCCATCTGCAAGGAGAGAACAAAAAGACACAATAACAACAACAACAAATGTGAAATCGAAAATCAAAATGTTTTTTTACCTTTCCATGTCACTGTGTTTCATGGCCGGATGCCAATTGGTACGCACTGGAGCAGCAGCAGCCATTTTCCAGTGTTGAGTTATTATTTATTTATTTTTTTAATAAATTTCACTATTTATTTTCCTTCTGTTGGGGAAAAAAAGCACTGCTCCCCAAATTTTGACAATTGCAATTGTTGACACGTCGCTGATGTAGAGTAACAAAGTTGTTGGGGAGTGAAAATGTTCGGTGTGAGGCACCCTGTGTTTAGTGCTGTCAATCATTACAGCTGTTATTGCTTGTGAAAACATAATAAAAGACGTCGGCGTAGATGGGCTGATTTAAAAATATTTATATATGTAAATATTTTATGTATTTCTTCCGCTATAGTATGGAGGGTATATTACATTTGTATTATTTTAACTAAATTGGTTTCTTATTGAGTAGCCAAAAACAACAAGGTAGGACAGCTTGAGGTGAATAATAAAAAATCAACTATGTAGGTAGTGGCTTCTTCTGCCATATAAAAAAAAATGCTGTGTTTATTTGACATTTTTCAAAACAAAAATAAAATCGAGAAAAAATTAATGAAGGGCTATAATTTCTTCCCAAAATTCGGATGGGATTACCATGAAATGTTTGTTTCGTCCATTGAAAAGTAATTACTTCCAGATGAACGCGATAAAAAATCATTTTTATTACACTTCAATTTGAATATATTTAAATTTAATTTGAAATGATATTCAAAACAATACATACATATTTTGATTTGAAAGAACAAGCCACCGCATTTACAGTTGTTTTTATTTGCGCTGAAAGAAGAGTCCGAGTTCTTGTATCGATTGTTTGACCAACCACACCAGCATCAGTCGTAGAAGATTTTTTGTTTTTGGGGGATTTTAAAAGTTTATTGAGAATTGAATTTATTTGACATGATATTCAAAACAATATATTCTTGCAAATTCTGTAAAAGGCTAAAGGCGTAAACATATAAGAGAACTTCAGGATTGGCATGTTAAGTTGGCTTCTTTTATTGTAAAAGATTAATGGAAAACGGCGTCCAAAATACAGTTTGACTCTAATATTCCTTTATAAATTGGCATTTCATACAAAGCCAACTTAACGGGCCAGACCTGAATCCTCCTATGTCCCAGTAGAAATTGTCCTGCAGACAACATTAACGAATCGTGTAAGACAATGGCAATTCCTTGAAGTATTTACTCCTTCTAAATAGAATATTTTCTTGTGTAGCCGGCCTTGCCGGGTATTTAAGATATAGTCTAACAAACTTGCTAAATGGTTTTGGTGACCGGCCTTCGGCCGGGGACATATGCAGACAACAATATGAAATCGTTGACGAAATTTTCACCCAAGTGTCGGAGTATTCATGCAAGACAACTTAGGCGACAGGGTAAGCGATATTGTCGTTGACAACAACTTCAGCGACTAAACCCCCTCGTTTCCACGACAGAGGGGTCTACGATCCGAAACGACCCGAGTCTTACTCGGCCAACGTCTGTCACCTCAGCCCATTGTGTTAAAGCAATAGGGCTGCTACAACAACAACTAAACTCCCTAAATTCTGTTAAATCCTAAATTTCTTATAAATATTTTCTGAAAGAATTTTCTATTTGTTTCTGTCAATATTTCGTAGTACATTCGATTCAGACTATTTTTGTTTTGTTTTCATATTTCGAGAAGATCGACATTTTCGACGACATATCATGTGTTTTGTCATGAAAGATAATTCCATAAATTTCGTCAACGAAATTGTCATGCAAGAGAGTATTTTCTACTGGGATGTTTCTCCCTTAACTGTCTGAACAAAATTCCTGTATTTTCATAACTCCAAGAACCTCGTCACCTTTGTAATTTTAACAAAAATAATCCCTTTATAATGTGTCGTTAATACAATGTGGCATCTCAACTAACAAACGGGCTATCACATTAAGTTGAATGCCTGAGTGTACTCCCAGCGAGAAGAAGAAGAATTGAATATTTATTTTTTGTTTGAGAGAGAGCAGAAGAGAATATCTTTGCCGCATAGGCAAACAGCAGAACACAGAACACTCCAACAAGAATTGTTAACAAGTCTGGTCAGGAATTCCCGGAAAACACCACAACAAATTATCGAGAAGATCATACAAAAAATATTGGACATATCGCCTTCTCCGATTGTTTACTTACTACTGTTCACGTACGTGTTTGGTTTTGTCGTTATTTGCTGTGTAGATTTGTTTATTTCATCGACATGGAAGAGTTAAATGAAATTTTAGAAATGACTAAGGATAAATCAACACAAAGGGAACAAGATGAGGTAAGACAACGAGAGAGAGAAAGGAAGGGCCAAAAGGTCACTTATTGTTTGTTTAATTGTTTATTACAATGTCTTTAATTGTTTACACTTTTTGTGTGTGTGTCCCCTTTTAGATCTTGCTGCAGCCCTTCACCTATATTCAACAAATTCCTGGAAAACAATTCCGTTCCCAGCTATCATTGGCCTTTAACTATTGGCTAAATATACCACAGGAAAAACTTTCCGAAATTGGGGAAATTGTTCAAATGCTACACAATTCCAGTCTACTGTAAGTAGCCAAACCGTGTGAAATTATTTACACATATACGAATGAAATGTTAGAGGCAAAAAGAAAACTATTTATGGTTGTTGCATGTTCCTAATTAATTAACACAGGACTAAATTTGTCCAGTATGTCGCACATATCATCACCTACATAAAGAGCACCAACCATCAAGTTATTTTAATTTGTTGCAAAAGAATTGGATTTTATGTTGAGGTCCGTTTTTTAGAAGGACATTAAGTATTATACACAATAACGGCCTTTGTAATGTCCTTGAATTGTAAACTGTTTAAAGGAAGTTGTATATTTCAAGATTTTCATATTAACAATTTCATATTTTCCTAATGTGTGAAACTTAAAAAAAAGGCTCCCAAAGGATGAAGATGCATAAAAGGACCCTTGTGTCCCAAATATATTTTATTCCAAGGGGAAACATTGTTAACATACAATTAATTTCCAATTTCAATTGCAAACTGACATTGAAATACCAGCATCATATTCAATGTATTTTTTGTTTTGTGTTACAGTTTACCACACAAGGTTACAAACAACATTTTTTTTAATTGTTTGTATTTCAATACTCATTCACTTTCATAAATTTTGTTTTCAAAGTTTTCAACACCACTACCACCAGTACAGTAGTTTGTGTATATCGTTGATACATTTATAGTTGTTTATAAGATTCAAAACGAAATATCTATGGCACATATAAACAAACAATTTCTATGTACACAGTTCTAGAAGCAATCTGCATATGAAATTTCATCAAATGGTATTTGTTCCACAACAAATCATGATGCCATAACAAATCGAAATGTGTTAGCAATCGATTTTTGTTATTGGAAAAAGTAAACAGCGTTTTTTTTTTGTAATACAAAATTAAAGGAGAACACCTCGAATGAAATAAAGAATATTTATTTTTATTCCCGATCACAATAAAATTCTATGACGTTTGTTTGTTTGCTCACGAATTAGCTGCATTTTGGATTTTGAATCGCTAGCTAAAATCTCAATAGGATGTAATATTGTATTTTGGATTCTCGTTATGTCACAAATCTTTTTGCCAACAATTATAAATATAGGTCCATATTCCAGACACGTTTTTCAAACGAAATATCTATAATTTTGCATTTCAGGTTCTTGTAGGGCGAAAAAAAAAATATTTTCTGAAAATTTTTGATATAGCCACCAAATAAAATATCGGCACGATTTCGATGATTTCGCCTCATTTCGATGTGGCTGTAATTTGACATTTATGAGGAGTGAAAATTATCAGTATAAGACCATGATTTAACATAAATTCAGCTCGTTTGGCCGAATTTTATGTTTTTAGCCGCCTTTCTTCACAGAAATGTCTGCTGTTTGGCATTCAGGCGTTATTAAAAGGGTTAATATTTTAAGAATTTAACAGCATATCCTCACCAAATGTGTGCTGACGATTGTTATATCCTAGCCTCTTTTGGACTTCTTTTCATTGTTCCTTCTTTTCATTGTTAGCCACATTTTACCAGGGTAGAGACTTACAAATTTCTCAACCGCCATTAAGCATATCCATCAGAGGCAGGACTATTTCAACGGTCCAAAATCTTAAAAAACTATCCGCCACCTTTGATAGCCTCCTGACATTCTCCAAGCACACCGCCACGCTGCAATCGAAAAATTACCGAATCGAAATAAGGTGATCAAAGCATGTCGGTACTCATAACTCAATCTGTCCTCAATTATACTGCCCCAATTTGGACTTCGTTCATCAGCGACTCTCAATGGAGAATGCTTCACACCACTATTTGGGTGAAGGTTGCGGAACTTCTGAAGAGCGGATGTGCTGCACAGATTTGCTCTGTGGGGCGGCATTTGCTATCCCAGGAGACGATGGTTCCTTGCCGGACTTTCGCTTATTCCTATTTCGACCACTGGTGGATCCAACCAAAGCTTTAGCTTCACCTTTGTCGCTAGGCGGGCTTTGAGACAGAGCCCTCCACACGTTGATCACCCTTATGAGTGACATTTTGTTTCGGGATGTTCTCAGTAGCATTTTTCTTTTCCTTTTGACTAGGGTTAGGATTCGAGCTGGGCTTCATATCAGAAGTCCGCTTAGCACCTTTATCAGACACAATGGGCTTTGCCACTTTTATGCGAGCAGTAGGATTCGGGAGGGAGATCCTGTCCATCCCGAGTTCACGATGGAGAGCGTGCAGATAGATTCTTTCCAACTTCCTTACGAATCGCATCTTGCCCTTGATGCGGTGAACATCCTTCTCCGAAATTAAATTCGCGTCTCACCCCACGAATTTGCGGAGATACAGCACGTTTGTAGTGTTTCGCATCAGCTACTTCTCGGGCCTTCCCAACATTTGAGCCGCTGTCCGTTGCTGCGGTCTCGACAGATTCCCCTTCGTCGGGCATCGCCTCCGTCGCAGATTGCCTCTGAAGTTTATTGTCGGCAAATGCCGACACACGACCTGTTGTAGTCAGACTTGAAGTAGGTCGGTCAACAGGGTCTGCGCTTCCTTCGATAATGCTACAACAATCCCCCTGTGTAGACTTGGCTGTGGGATCACCGTAGTGTCCAGCTCATCATAAGTTAGGGTGAGATTCAGTAGCATTTTCGCCGGAAGCGTATCCCCGCATTGCTCTTCCGGTATCAGTCTGTCTAACTGGTCGAAGATTTCCTTACTTTGCTCCTCTAGACTATCGCGTATAGCGTATAGAGTCCCGTGTAGGTCGTACCCTCCCAGAACTACAGTCCTGTCAGCCAGAGACTGATTTTTATCAGTCTTGACCTGCTCGTTTGCCAAAAGAATAGTCGGTTCGTGAACGTTCGGATTTGAAATTGATACGCTTGTAACAGATACACCTGCAGGTGCCAAGGCATCCACACCAAGAACAGTCGGATCACAATCGCTTGATCTCGACCACACGTGGCTAGTGACTCCACCGTAACTTTATTCTTTTTGCTCCGTTTATATATCGTAGTTAATTAATTTAATGGGCACTACCCCGATCCATTTTGGTCCACGGGGAATCCGAAGATCCCCAAGGTTTCCACGAAGTGCAGAGAAAAGTTGAACTAGATGTCCTAAGTCAGTTTCACTCAGCACATCATGGAGACCCCCTTCCCATCCGCCATTCAGGAAAACGCGCCTAGACATCAAGCTATGAAAAAAGGTCTTCACAAAGTACAAAGTAGGTCCAAGTAGGCTAGGTATTTTCAAGTTTCGTTATTTTGAAGTTCTTAGGCACATTTTTTTAAACCAAAGTGGTTGTAATTTTGAACTTCGAATTCTTGCAGAATGAAAAACATATTTACAGAAAACATTTTATGAACTGAAACTCTTCAGAATTTTTCTGCTTATGACATGACATTTAGAGGCTTTGGAACGAACGTTAATGTGTACGGTACTTAGAAGACATATCTGGAGGAGACCTCCAAGATTTTCCGTTCCGTTATGTTAGGTGTGAAATTCAAGGTTTGGTTTTGAATTTACGAACACTAATATAATTTCACCCGTCGTTGATTTGAATTGCATAAATATGTTTCGTTGTAGAAAATTTATTTTAATTGGTTTGTGGTATTGCAACATGTTTGTTGAACTAACAATTAAATTGACCCTTCTGATTCTTTTTCTTTTCGACATTAATAATAAAAACATAATAGAAAAAGAAATCCCCCTCTCCTTTTCCCATTCAATAGACAGACAGTGAGTGAGTGAGTGCAACATGAAGCATGTGTATATGCTGTTGAATGCTAATTAATATCAATTGTGAGAAATTCTCAAAACAATTGATATTCGAATACAACAAAAACAAAAAAACATTGAAAAACGAAAAACAAATCATTCAATACAGGCCGCTATATAAACACAACGAGCTGTGCATAGAAGTGTGCATGATTTTTTTTTTCACTTCTAAGAATTTCTTTATTTTAAATCAAATGCCTGTAAACAAATTGATTTTGAAAAAAGAAAATGTATATTTAAAATTCTAAAGAAATTAAATTGTTTAATTAATTTTAAAATTCTATTAAAGTACGGACGCCAAAAGAACAAAAATAGCATTTCTTATTGGAATACCCTTTTTATTGACACATTCTCATGATGATGAATCATGGCGCTATGCAAATGAAGACAGCAACAAATTACGTGTGGAAAAATCCAATTGAAATTTGTATGAGGATTATGTTGTTGGGATTTTTTTTATTATTTTTTGATGTTTGCAGATATCGCAAAAAATATATATTTTAAAAAAGGCCATCCCTGTGATAATTTAAAAAATATTTTTTTTTAAAATTCCACGCCTGTGATAACAAAAAATATATTTTTGGAAAACTCTTCGCGTCTTGTAGATTGTGAGTTTGGTCTGGCGTGAGGTGGCCTTGCTTATGAGTTGATTACTCAGACCATAGTAGCATCTGTTGGCCACCACTATCCTTCTCAGAATTTCAAAACTGATGTCATTAGTTTTATTTATGGTGGTACCAAGATATATAAAATCTTTGACTATCTCGAAGCTGTTGTTCTCAAGTTCCACAGTTGGTTCGAGTCTACTGGACGTCTTGCGCGTTGATACCATCAACTTGGTTCTCTCTCTCAATTTGTTTAATGGTGGCTGTTACCGCTCTCAATGTTCGACCCATTATGTCGATGTCATCGGCGTAGGTGAGTAACTGGTGTTGTTTGGTTGCAGGAATGCCCAACGCAGACATGGCTTTAAACACGGATAGGGCTATCGAATGCGGCTTCATGGTCGACAAATAGGTGTCGAAGGTGAAGCCGCATTGGTATTGTCCAAAAATGTCGTTGACCATTGGCTTCAGTCGCTGGATAGCACTTTATATGCCATGGGAAGGAGACTTATTCCTCTATAGTTTGCACATATTGTCTTGACTCCTTTTTTGTACACGTGGCACAGGATGCTGAGGTTCCAATCATTGGGCAAGCTTTCCTCTAGCCAAATTGTACTTGTCAGCTGGTGCATGCTCCTTACCAGCATCTGACCACCAGTTTTGAATAGTTCGGCTTGTAAATCATCGGCACCTACTGCTTTATTATTCTTCAGCCGATTGATTGCTATTCTGACCTCATCTTGGCTAGGAGGTATACACTCTATACCGTCATCTATTATTGGTTCTGGGGTATCCTCTTCACCGCCACTATTTGATACCAGAAGTTTTTCAAAATGCTCATTCCAGATCCTCAGCACGCTGTCTGTATCTGTCACCCGTGTCCTTCTTCATCTCTACTGGAGGATGTTCCTGCACCAAAACCTTCGGTTTGGTGTTTTACCCGTTGGTAGCATTTTCGGACTTCTGACTCTTGTACATCTCGGTTTGCTCACGCTGACGTTTTTCTTGTTCATTCTTCTTTTTTCTGAAAATACGTTTCTCCTCTCTCCTTTTCTTCCGATAGTTCTCTATCGCATTACGTGTTGCTACTGTCCGCAGGGTTGCCCTTTACGCTGCGTTTTTCACATCAGTAGCATTACGACACTCCTGAACGTACCACGGATTTCTTGATGGTGGTTTTTGGTACCCTAGTGTGCTTTGGCTGCAGTTTGTAGGGAGTGGGCAATTATTTGCCATTGTGTTTCTATACTATTATCGGGACAAGATGTACTTTTCGCAAATATGACTGACTTAGAAGAACTTCGCTTTTAAACCGATTATAGCAATTCGCTCATCTACTGAAGTGAATCTGGAGACGAGGTCTTTTATTCTCCTATTAACCATAAATCCTCAGCCAAATTCCCGTCTCGTTTCATGGCAGCTATAATACAGGACGTAATCTTCTGATTTACATACTACATTCCCTTTCCATCGCATTTCCTGTAAGGCAATAATATTGGCTTTGTACTTCTTGAGTTCATCCGCCAAAGCGAACACTGGCCTGTTCTATACAACGTGCGCACATTCCAAGTGCAGATTCGCAGATCGTGGTCCTTTACGTTTGCGGGGGTCGTCAACATTTGGTGCGTTTGGTTTTCTTTTTCTTTGCTTTTTCATAGTAGGTTCGGTATTCCGAGTGTGGGCCACTAACCCGACGCCTCAACCCATTTTTATAGTTCTTATGGTTCTCGCGGCACATATTAGCTCACTATTTCATTGGGTGATGAAAATAGCTACCCTAGGAGATCAGTGTCCACAATTGAGATAAAAGAGAAACCAAGATTCCTTAAAAATATGTTTTTAGAAATCCTTACAAAATCTTTTTTAAATAAATATTTTTTTTTTGTAGTAAAATTTGTTTTTTTTTATACACATAATCACATCCATGCATGTTCCATCACGATTTTCATTATTGTCATATATTTATATGTTTGCTTTCATGCCTATCTACACATACATACATGTAATTTAGATGTTTACTAACACTAATACATTTTCCAGCATTGATGATATTGAAGACAATTCAATACTTCGCAGAGGTGTTCCAGTTGCCCATTCCATATACGGTGTGCCCAGTACAATCAATGCCGCAAATTATGTATTATTTTTAGCTCTAGAAAAGGTACAACAATTAGGACATCCTGAGGTAAGACATACAAATACCCATACTAAACAATTTTCAAAATCATTTAATAAATATTCGGGTTTTATTGTTACAGGCCACCAAAGTCTATACGGAACAATTATTGGAATTACACCGAGGACAGGGTATGGAAATATATTGGCGTGATAGTTTTACATGTCCCACGGAACAGGAATATAAGTTGATGACGGTGCGAAAAACCGGTGGCCTTTTTATGCTGGCCATACGTTTGATGCAATTATTCAGCAACAATAAAGAAGATTTTTCCAAACTGACTGCCATTTTGGGTTTATATTTTCAAATACGTGACGATTATTGTAATTTAAGTTTGAAGGAGGTGAGTCCACATATATATATATTGATATATAAATCTTAAAGAAATAAAAACATGTTTTCAGTATTCAGAAAATAAAAGTTTTGCCGAAGATTTGACAGAAGGTAAATTTGGATTCCCCGTTATACATGCCGTACAAACGCAAAAACACGATAAGCAAGTGTTACGTAAGTAGAATTTGTTGTAAATGTTGTTGGATAATTATTTTTGACTGTTTTTGTGACCTGTTTTTAGATATCTTACGCCAACGTACCCATGATGTTGAAGTGAAAAAATATTGCATTACATTACTAGAGAAGTTGGGCAGTTTCCGTTATACCCGCAATGTTCTGGAATCACTGGACGAAGAAGCCAGAGCTGAAGTAAGTATATAATTGAAATTAAAAATAACAATGTTGACCTGCAATGTCAGTGTCTTGGCTGACAGGTGTGGGTATTAACCACTATACTATCGAGGAAATATTAAAAAAAAAACAACCATAACCCATAAGAGATTATTGAAAAATAAAAAAATACAGCTTACACTGGAAAGCGTAATAACTATAGAGAAAAACTTTAATAGGGCAATCGTATGAACCAGAACGTTTTGTATATTGTAAGACCAAAAAACCAAACATTTTAAAACCCCTTCACTTCACTATTCATACTACTAACTTCTATAACACGACTTCCTTGGAAATATATGCCGATTTTTTATGATAAGACTTTCTCACCAAATGACCTCCTATTTGATGAACTCATGTCCCGATAAGCTTTTCTGGGCTTTTGAGAAGAGCAGACTTTCTTGGCTGATTTTAGAAAAACATCTAGCTTTTTATGGGAGGACCTCCTGCGCTTAGTTTATTATGAGAACACCTAGATGTCTTTTTTGCTGATAGAAGTAGGGATAAGTAAATCGACTTTCTATTAAACGACTTTTTGAATTAAAAAGTATAAAAGTCGAAGTCGACTATTGATCTTTTGAAAAATGGTCGATTTTGACCAGGTTCGCCAAAATCGAAAAGTCGACTTTAAGGTCAATGGCAAAAATCGACTCTTGGTCAGAGGCAAAAATAGAAAAGTCGGCTTTTGCGCTCGACTACGTATCACTAACTATAAGACCTTCTGTCCTAATATGAGAAAGACTGCTTTCCTGAATTTCTATAAGAAATTTCCCTAAAAAGCTTCGGATCTTATACGAGAAGACCATGTTACCTACTCCGAGAATATTGTCATTATTCTTTCCAGCATTTCCTTGGAAAAAACAATTTAGCCTCTTCTGATATACCCTCAGCCTTATGGCTAATGAGGGTATATACACTTTGATACGGCAAAATTTTGTCACATCGAAGTACTGGTTTTAGGCCCCTCGTTTTTTCGGAACAAATCCGTTTCAGAAAATTTGAAGTCGATTTAAAAAAGTCCGACCGCCCGCTGGTGTGCACGATAACTCTCGAAGGGAGTAACCGATTTCATCCAAACTTTGCACATCGTAATGTTTCTTCCGAACTTAAAACATTTTCGAAGATGGGTAATATTGGTCCACTCCTTCTGGTACAACACCCACAACATATTCAACATTTTAGCGAATAAAAATACCAGTATGTAGTAATTCTGTAGACCTCTCAAACAATAGGCTGGTGGATATACATCTTTCGGCAACATAGCCTGACCTATTTTTTTCTTGTTTATGATAATACCTTCTTCCCAACTGGCCTTCTATTTGATGAACTCTTGTCCTGATAAGACTTTCTGACATTCTGAGAAGAGAAGAACTTCGGGACACCAGTAGACCTCCCAAACAATAGGCTGAGGGATATACATATTTCGGCAACACCGCCTGACCTCTTTTTTACTTGTTTATGATAATACTTCCTCCCCAGTTGGCCTTCTATTTGATGAACTTCTGTCCTGATAAGACTTTGCAACATTCTGGGACGAAAATTATTTCGGGGCTGATATTAGGAAAACATTTGATCTTTTTTGAGAACAAATATAGAAAACTACTTTCCTATGAGAAGTTTTTCTTGTTTTTATGATAATACCTACTCTCAAATTGGCCTTCTATTTGATGAACTCCTGTCCTGATAATACATTCTGGCATTCTGAGAAGAGAAGAACTTCTGAGCTGATATTAGGAAACCATTTGATCCATATATAGGGACTCCTTTCCTATGAGAAGTTAATCTTGTTGTAATATAAAAGAATAGATGTCCTTCATTGCTGTTATTAGAAGACCTTCTGTCCGCATATGATAGATGTCCTTCTTTGCTGCTATTAGAAGATCATCTGTCCAAATATGAGAAAGCCTTATGGTCTGAATTTCTATAAGAATTTTTCGTAAACATTGAAAGTAAGTTAGAATATTATATAAAAAGACCACTATGAGGAGTCTGCCAGTCTTCTTTCCAATCCTCTATAAGGAGATCTTCACTGGAGAAAAAAATTGTGGACACTTTTAAAAACCCCTTCTGGTTTTTATATATAAAATATGCCATCCCGTTTGGAACACCTCGAAATTTTCTTGGTCTCAAAAACATTATATGTCGACGGACATGGCTAACCGTTGACATCGTTATTAGTTCTAAGGTTTTGAACGGTGTTGCAAATGAGGTATATTGGCCCATGTTTTCGTATAACCGCCATTTTGTAGGATTTAGCCGGCCTTTCTGGATGTTGACATGCATATATGCGAAAGTTATTAACGTAGGTCAATGCTTTGAGATATATCCCATATTTCGGTATTTGGAAAGTATTAGCTATGCAAGCGAAGTTGCAGTACCGAAATTACCAATAGATGTCCATGTATGTGATATGACCTCCATAAAACGATCTCGCCACATTTTCGGTATTTTTAAAGTTTTAACCGAATTTCCCGAATGACGTATTTGAGATTTCGGATTCTTGAAGAAATTTGAGATTCCTGGATCTTGAAGAGCGAACAAATATATGTTGGTTTTAATTCCATGCTTCATTTAATCTAATTGATTGCTTAATTATACCGACTTTCTTTTAGGTTAAGCGTTTGGGTGGCAATCCCTATATGGACAAATTGCTCGACAAGCTATTGTCGTGGAAGACATCTGAAACCAATTCGAATGACGCCAGTACTTCGACCAGCAGCAGCCCCCAATGTAAATCAACGTGTAACTAACAACCAAAGAGACAAAGAAGGGAAGACTGATCCGATGCACTGGACCTGAACCTAAACAAGCAAAGCTAAACCAGTTTTGCTGTTTGAAATAATGTTGATGAAAAAAAGTGTAATCTGAAATGAAAGTAAAATGTAAAGCCTTATCTTATTGGATTACTAATTCTATTTTATGAATTTGTATTTCTATTTTTTCCCCATTAAAATGACTAAGTATAATAATGTGTTTTTGTTGTAAAAAATGGTTCCAAAAACAAAAATACCATCGCTAAATGTTGTCTTTTGTAAATGCAATGATTATTAAAAATACTATTATTAAAATAACTATTATTGTAGTGTTAAATGAAATTTATATTAAATTTGGAATGAATGTGTCAAAAAAAAAAACTAATTAAAAGAGATTTGTTTATTATTATAACGTTTTGAAATTTAATTTATTATATTATAACAACTATCTGCTTTTCTACTTTGTGGTATATTTGTTTTTTTTACATATTTGTCTGTATGTTTACAACGCTATTTACACAATAAATGTTATATAAATAATTATTGAATGCACCACCTCAAAAAAAAAACAAATAAAATACACTATATATTTTTCAAATTCTATATTGAAAACAATAAGAAAAATAATTGTATTATTTATAGCATTTTTTATTAATATTGCAATAAACAAATATTGGCAATGTTTGTAGTTTGTAAAAGCCGTTATTTAATAACAAAAAAAATAACTTAAAAAATGTGTGTTCATTTAAAGGTTTTGAATGAAATGAAGCGAAGAGTACGGACTTGAGCAGATACCTGCCAAATGGCCAGTTTTAAACAAAGTTGAAGTTGACCAATAAATCCCATATTCCAACATTATAAAGGCATAATTAAACGATTAGTTTGTGGAAGTTTAATTTAATTTTTACTCAACAAATCGGATAGTTTGTTCGTATGAAATTATAATCTAAAATTTCAGTACAACTTTTGATTGGTTCATGGAACAGGTACCAGAAGGAGTGAACGGAAAACCCCATCTTCGAACTTGATTTATGTTTAAGTAGATACCTTCATTAGCCGTAAAAAAAATTAGAGGCTATTCATTCAAAAATCTTTTGATAAGGAGATGTAGTACCAAATCAAAATTGAAAAAGAAGTAATAACATAGGTTCGACCGGCCCCAACTTTTTAAACCCCATGAAGTAGACATTTAAAACATCAGTAATTGTTCGACACATTCATATATGACGCGATATGTCATGGTAAATTTTCGGTAGAACGATTTGACACACAATGAGAACCAAATTTAAGCCAACGTGTTTAATAGACGTGCCTAAAATATCGAATAATGGGGGTTATGGTTATGTGCAGACTATCCTTAAACCGATATCATCAATCATTTGAGATATGGTAATGGAAACTCAAAGTATCACATAACTTCCCAAAATACCGAACAATGAGGGTTACCATTGTATGAGCCTATCCTAAAAAGTAGACCGATATCAATCATTTATGGTAGGGATATTTCTTATCCAATGGAAACTAAAAGTATCAAATTAACGTTAGGTTAAAAAACCTGCCCAAACCCCCCAAAATACAAAATATTTGGGACTACCGTAATATAAGGGCTATCCTCAAAAGTGGACTTTATCGATAGTTTTTGGCAAGGATATTTGCTATCTAATAAGACTTTACTAAATTATAGCCAATTTGATAGAAAAACATGCCCAAACTTCCCAAAATAACGATTAATGTGGAGTGCCGTTGTATGGGAGCAACCGTAAAAAATGGGCCGATATCGACCATTTTTGGTAGAGAAATTTTAATGGGCTCCAGGTCGATAAAATTCTATTGTCAACGTACCATGCATATGATTATGAGATATTTATTTTTGATTATCTGTAATTTTGTTGTGCTAAGGCCAGGTCTCACTTTCGTATAGCAAAATCGATATTTTCGATTTGCTATGCCAAATATATGTGAGCTTCTCCGTACAACTTGCAGTCGTCCGAATGCTGTTGTTGTTGTAACAGCCCTATTGCTTTTACACAATGGACTGAGGTGACAGACGTTGGCCGAATAAGACTCGGGTCGCTTCGGATCGTAGACCCCTCTGTCGTGGAAACGTCCGAATGCTGTTGTTGTTTTTGTTGTAGCAGTTTATATGAATTATATTTTTCCTGTTTAAATTTCATCTGGTTCTGTCTCCAAATCTAGAAATGCAACTACTTCCACGGGCAGCAACCACAGATCTTCTGGAGTAAGATGAAATCAACTCATTTTACTGGGCTGGGCAATTGAATAAATGCAGTGTGGTATGAGGGCCCGTTCCACACCCGTTCCACCACTTCGTGGCGGATATTTTCATATTCCTTGCTTTAAAGAAGGCTGCTAATTCAACGAGATAGGCATTCAACCTCACACATATGCCCAATGGGATATGTAACGACTGCATATGTAACGATTTTTTTCCATCCGGAGGCGTGGAATACCGTAAAGGTTGGAATACCGAAAACAGTTCCGGAGAAATTACTCCACCCTGGAGAACTCTCTGTTTAACTCTACGGGGTTTGGACTTCTTGTTCCGGAACTCCACGTACGACTGGCGTCCACACATATATTTGATTATCTAACGTTTCAAACTCGGCCGGAGGGAAGTGCTCTCAATGTCCTGAAATAGCGTGGCATGGTTCACAGTATCAAAAGCTTTTGATGGGTCAAGCTCTACCAACACTGTTTTATCGCACGGCCGGTTCTGGTTATGTCCTCTACTTATATGTGTGGAAATGGCGTGAAACGCCGTTGTTGTACTGTGTTGCTTACGGAATCCATGTTGATGATACGCAACTGGATAGCTTTCTCTAATGCTGGGAAGGAGCAAAGCCTCAACGGTCTTGGCCTGTAAGATTCACCTTAGCTGGCATCCTTGCCCGGCTTCAGTAGCGGGACCACCCTGCCCATTGTCCAGGCTTCGGCGACGACGTGGGTGACCATTGACAAGTTGAGAACGTTAGTCAAGTACTCGACTCCCGGCTCGTCCAGCTGTTTCAGCATACACATAGATATTCCGTCAGGGCCCAACGCTTTGGATGACTTCAGATAACACATGCAACATCACTCATCATAAACTGTGGTGGTACCTCCTCGGCTTGAAGAGATCTTATACGACGAAGTACTCTTATCTTAGGCCCTGTCGCTCTCGGAATGCTCGACAAACTGTCGGTTAAAATAACTTGCGTATCTCTTCGGATCAGTCACAGTTTCGTCGTTAAATGTGACTGAGATCGTCCGAATGCTGATCTCGCTTAGTGAAGCCTTTTAATACGCCTATTTCTGCACCATCGTTCACTTTTGGACATACTACATTTTTTGACCTGTTTGCCTATTCCCTGTTTATTTTAAATCCAACTAGTTTCTCCGGGCATTTTTTCATTAATTTGCATCCGCTGACAAAAGAATAGACTTAACGGTCTACATAATTTTTATATTCCAAATTTGTATTCGTTGAAAGTTGCCGAGCTTTTCTTCATCACGTAAAATGGTCTCTTGGTTTTATTCCCGGTCAAAAGATTAATCCTGTAGATTTCTAAAAAAACATTTATTTTTCAATATTCCATCAATATACATCCCACACTTATCCACCAACCTATACCCACTCACTTGTTCCGACAACAAAAGGAAACATCTCATTACTAATATTCCCCCAAAAAATCATTTTTTATGCTGGCCCTTTTTTTGTTCACCCAGCCCAACATGATTGACGTTTTAATAACCAAACTTTCTGTTAGATTGCTACGCATAGCATTTCATCACCACCAGTTGATGGGTGGGGACAGAGGCGAAGGCTGTGGAAACGGCAGCAACACCGAAATTAAGGCTGACGCCTTTTTTTGTAATTAAAAACTCAAATCTCCCGCTCATTACTCGTCGTCCAAAACAATGATGCATTCCAACAAACAAGCTAAATTCTAAATGGTAAATGGGGTAAAAGCAATTAAAATGGATTTTATATTGAAACTGAAAAGATGTAAACGGTGTGTCGTTGTTGACACAAACAATTTCAATTTTAAAGTTTCTTTCAATCAAGTATTTAGGGGAGATCCTTTTTGCGTTTTATGTGTTCTTTTTAATTTTCGTATTTATTGTATTGCAAATATAGAACACAAACTGTTTACGCTGTCTCGTTTATAATAGTCACCGTAATCACCCTCTCCCCTGCACTTGTTTTCATTAAATACCTGCCTGATGTTTTATTTCATGATATTGCAAGAGCAGACTGCCTCCCATCAACTACAAATTTTCAGCCAAGCAAAACATGCATCAGTGGCAGCAGCAGCAACAACAACACATCCGTTTGAATGACATGTCATCATCATTGTTTGTTGTTGTTATTATGGCCATTATTATGGTTATTCTTGTTACATTTCCCTTTTGTGTTTTGTTGTTTCTCTCTCAAGCATTACGGACAAAATAACAACGGCAAAGAGCAACGAGTATCAAATGAAGAGAACGATTTTTTTATATTTCACAAAGAGAACAGTTGTTGATGGTACCACCTTCATATTCTTCTTCTTCTTTACAAAAATGTGTATGATAAACATACTGCCTTTATTTGTGGGTATTTTTTTTTATTTTTCTAAACCCAAATTAGATAAACTAAAAATTTGATATTTAATTTAAAAAAAAAAACGATAACACAATTAGTAGAACTAAACGCTGTTTGTTATTTCAGCATCCCTAAAGTATCACTTGACCAAAATACATATATTAACTGGGACGTAATAACTCCTTCTAACGCAGAGGCGAACGAATGTCACACACATCAGCACGAATAGGAGACACATACACAAACCCATAGGCGAGAGATTATGTGAACGACAACAAAATAAAAGAAAGAAAACATACAATGCACAATGGGGTGAAATAATGTGAGATAATTTGTTATAATTATCACTAAGAGACGAATGAATGTCTGTTGAAACAAAGGAAAGATCAAATTTAAGATGGGACAAAGGATA